AGTGAATTTAATTGTGGTTGAATGAGAAGTATAAATATATAAAATTCTGATACCGTATTAGTTTGGACACAAACAAATCATGTCACACTCCAGCAGAACATAATCAATAACATAAAAGGACTGTACTTAAGGTATTTCTATTTCATGAATTATATTATTGTATTTGGCCCACAGCCCTTGGATAGATTTTCATTTTGAGGAAAAGGTTTGTGCAGCCTTGATATAGTGCATAAACTAATTATTTTAATACAATAAAGTAATTTCTATATTTTTGGGGGGAGGTCACCTCCTAATAAATGTCATTACAGAAAACCTAACTGCTCACTTTAAATCAATACTTTTACTTTTAATACTTAAGTACAAAAAATTTCAGATACTTTAAGACTTTTACTCAAGTACTATTCCTAAAGTAGACTTTAAGTTTTACCAAAGTAAATTTTTGTGAAGATACTTGTAGTTTTACTCAAGTACCACTTTGTGGTACTTTATACAACACTGAAATGAAGGTTACTAAAATTAAAAATGAGCTTGCCTGGGTTTACTACACAAATAAGAGACGGAACAGGACCACACGTCTCTGAGACCTGTTCCTCTGGGAGGTCTGACATTGGAACCAGGAGGTCACCTCGCCACATGGTCTCATTAAAATTATCTACCTTCTCAACCTAAAAGCACCACGCTGCAGTTCGACAGTAGGCCACATCAACAACAGCAAAGCACCACATTAAACCCCTTAACCAAGTCCTGCATGTTAAGTGGAGCACATCCATTTTATTAAAAATTTCTGTGAAACACTAAGCTTCTCATTCTCTGCACAACAGTGGGGTCTATTTATCTTTCTGACCTTGAAGTAGCCTGAATACAAAGTAGTCCTTTCCTCCAGCTTCAACCAGTGCAAAGAGTGATTGGACTGATCAGCGATAATCCCCTTTCTCTTTTAAACTCTTGTCAGCTGCAGATAATATAATGTAAAGCAAACCAATGCTTATCTAATGCTCGGAGCCAGATGATTGTTTCTGTTGAAGCTAAACTGTTGTCATTGTTGCAAAAAAAAGGGCTTGCAACACAGACAAAAATCTTAGTTGCAGAATGTTGTGATTAGCTCCTCTTTACAAATACAGTTCTGCAGATGAGGTGTGTTTTTATAGCATCAGTCACAGGAAAAAATGGCTTAAGCTGCAAGGCATTATTTCACTGCATTGTGTCTGTCCCAAGAGCCTCTCTAATGTTGCCTGGCTCTTCTACCCCCCTTTTTTTTTCTAAGTCCCAGTCCCTTGCTTGGCCCGAGGCAGCTCCTGCATGCTGCCAGAGAGGAGGAGCATGTCTAGGGTGAGGCTCAGCGGAGTCACATGATGTTTTTTACTGTGCCACTAGAGAGCAGCGTGTGGCATGTAGTGCCACATTAGGACTTGTGAAAGGAGGGGGTAAAAAACACGATTCTGAAACCTCCTAATGGATAATAGTGCCATTTTTATAACTGATAAATCTGTAAATAATTGACACCAGTTTGGTCTGTAATGTAAAAAAATATTGTTTCAGGGAAATTGAAAGGAGCAAAGTGTCATCATCAATTAAAAATGTTTCATAAATCCTGAGCTCCCAATTAACAGATTCAAGCAGCAAAATCAAACCATCTAAATTTAAGAGGATCAAACTAGTGTTATTTGCTTTGAGAATGATGAAGAAACTACCAACTTAGCTGCAGTTATGACAGTTCAAGGCAGCGTGCTCTGGACCGTATCAGTGATCGTGTCAAGTGAAGGTGAAAAGGGCATGAAGAGGAATGTGTGAAGCAGCAAACTTCATGAACAGTCAAACCAACTTGTTTTGAATGTACTTGTCATCATTAGGGCTGTGTATTGGCAAGAATTTGGCGATACGATACATATCATGACAGAGGGGTCACGATACGATATATCCCGAAATATTGCGATACTGTAAGCAAGGCAATATATTGCGATATATTGTGATTTTTTTTGTCCAAAAATTCTATTAAATAAAAACCTCTTACTGGGGAAGAAAAATGAAAAACCAAATTTCATTGTCTCAGGAAATTCTAATATTACATAGACATACTTTTGATTCATTTAGCTGTGTTCTGCTTTGTATGTATTTTATTTTTTGTTTCATATTTCTTATTTCATCCATGTTTTCAATTATTAGACTAAATTTGACAATAAATAGTTTAAAAATATATTTTTGCAGCTTTTAGTTTTTAATATTTATTTACAATATGGTCACCCAACATTTAACAATAGCCTCTACCTCAAGAGGTAGAGGAGCCAAATGGCTGGCTCACTGCTGCCAACTAGTGGTCAGAGGCTGAACTACAACATAAAAATGAACGGCTGGCAGGAAAGTTAACATTTTAAACCTTAATAAAAAATCGATACAGGGCTTTAGAATATCGATACAGTAYSGGGAAATGAAATATTGCGATATTTTAGTGTATCAATATTTTCTTACACCCCTAGTCATCATATGTAGACATGAGCTGAATTAGCTGATTTACAGACAGTAGTTTGTGAGACTGCAAGAGTGAGCTTTCCTCAAACCTGATGTGAACTTCTCATTTCCCACATGCAGGAAGTATCATGTGAGTTTAATGGTCTTTTTTGTGGAATATGTTGAATGTTTCCACATTCAAAGTACATATGTAAAAGTTACTTGTTTAATCCAAAAGACATGAACGCCTCCCTGTTGATATTTATATATGTACATGAAGCACATTCTGTTTTAATGGCTTTGTTTATCAATCTGAATATCCCATCTTCTTTAATTCATAAATTCCCAAAAGTGGGTTTTCTCCGTCTCATCTACGTTTTTTTGCCACATTTTTAAACTGAAACTAAATGGTTGCTTCWTGCTGTTTGAAGCACCCAGTGACTGTGATCACAAAAATCATTGCAGCTGTAAAAGGAAAGCTAAAATGGGTAAATAAGTCATTTTTAGTAGTTGCTGATTGGGACAGAATATATCTAACACTGTGTGTGTTTATATGTTGTAAAGTTTCATTCAGAACATTGAAGTGGTGTGACAACACTTCTAGCTCCCCCGCCTCCCTACACCTTGTTTTAAACAAGATCTGACACATTTGCTGAAAGAGCAGACGTTCAGAAAGCAATGTGACTCCTTTAGCAGCAACTACTACTAGTTGACACTTTTTTCAAGGTTATAATGTCACCCGGAGGTTTTCCTTGTTTGTGTATATGTTGCTGCTGTTAGCCTTTCCTTTTGCTCTTACGCTGATAAAACTTAGTTTTTCCCCAATGTGTGGAAAAAAACAGATCTGCTGTGAAATGTGAGACAGAGATTGCCCAAAAAACCTCCAGGGCAGGTACCAGAGTTGTGTGAAATGTTCATTAAACTCTGCTTTAAGAGGTTTAGGTTATGCAACTTGTAGAAACTTGTACCTCTTTTTGCTTTACTCAGAGTGTTTATGATTCTTCCACAGGAACCCTTGGTGTGGTTACTGAGGTGACGATGAAGATTCGTCCCATCCCAGAGTACCAGAAGTACGGCTCTGTGGTGTTCCCCAATTTTGAGCAAGGGGTCGCCTGTCTTCGAGAGGTTGCCAGACAGGTATGATTTACAGCATAAGTGTTTTTTATATTCTTGTTTCAGCTCTTCTTTTTGTTAATAATTCTTTAAATAAATAAAAAAAGTCACAAAATAAGCAGCCCTAGTAACAAAAAGCACAAACTTTGCAGCAGGCTCTGAGTGAAAAATGTGGTCGGACATCTGGGCTGTGAGTGTTTGGAAAAACTGCAGAATGTGTTTGTATTCACAACATCCTGAAACTGCAAAGTCGTCTAATGTTTTCAAATCCCATGTAAGCTCATAATGAGCTCCTGGTGTGTAGGATTGGGGATACATCATTAGCACCACATGCACAGACACTTGTTTATTATTTGTTGTTATTAATGTTAATATTATTTCATGAAAGTTCTGCATCACCAACAAATGACTTCAGCTGATTCAGTTTTAACTTTATTTTTGTTGTTGTTTTTCCCAACCTAAACAGAAAGTATGAGAGTTCTCTTATATGTTAAAAACCTGAATGTACAAAGTTTTAAATTGTTGTGGGAATAGTTACAAAAAAACTTAAAAAAAAGTTTGTATGTATATGGAATGATCTTTGTGTGGGTGGTATTTTAATAGGCTAATAATCATGAAACTTTAGTTTATATTCAGTTGTTGTATTTGTATTTTGCACATATTTTGTGTTCATCTGTGATGGGATCACAAATTAAAGAGTCTGTACCTGACAAAATACTTCTCAGCTCCTTTTGAGATTATTGCTTATAATTCCTGACAAAAGGAAACAGTTGCAGCTACACGTTCCAATATTAAAACTTAATGTTTTATTCTTAAATACTCATTTGGAGTCGATTAATTGTTAGATTCCTGTATTTAAAAATACTTTTTTTTGATTAAAACTTTTTTTTTAAACTTTCAGAGATGTGCTCCAGCATCTATACGTCTAATGGATAATGAACAGTTTCTGTTTGGTAAGTTGTGTTTGAGTTATAATAATGTCTAATATAACCAGTAGTTTTCAGTGAACAGCCATAACTTTATGACCAATTAGTATTAAGTTGGTTGACTCCAGTAGTAGTAGTCTGTTGCAATATTTGTCTCACAGGTTTTTGTAGCCGATCCTTTAGGACCTAAAGTTTTCACAGATTGGACATGATTATCCGGTTCATCCTATAGGTCTGCGATTGGACTGAGATCTGGAGAGTACGGAGCCAAGATATTTTTTTTCCTCAAACCATTCTGCAAAGCAACAAACATGCTTTAGAGTTTTGTTTCTAAACTCAAATTTCTGCAAATAATTTAGTACGCACTCATTAAATATCAGTGCTGTTGTGTGCAATGACATATGACCCTCTGTGGCCCGAATTGTTAATCAGCTTCTGCAGTGGAAGAGCAGCACACATATGCACAAAAGACTAAGACTTTGGCCAAAATGAGGTAGTTGTATTATTGAAGTTTTCTGATGCTGTTTCCTGTGGTCCAGTGGAATGCACCTGGCATTAGCAGAGATCTCTGTAAAGTTCCCACATCCCCCGGGATCTCATTATCTTCCCTGGATTTTCACTTTTCACAGAGTAGGCACTTCTTAGCATTCGGTAGGAAAGATGTAGTGACCAGTACTTTTTTTGTAGTTACCTAAAATTCCTGACTTACTGCTTGCTGCATTGGATTATTGCATTATTATTATTATTACTGCATTATTATCAGTGGTTTGTCTTTTTTTTTATTCATTTTAATCACATTACTTAAACAGACCTGACCATTCAGACGATAAAAGAAATGAAAGAAAATATGTCTTACATTAGTTGCTAAATTACAGTTTTATTAATGTGTTAATACGAAGAAAAAACACTATCAACCTGGGACAAAAAAGGGGTTCAGAGTAAGAATGTGGCTGATTTAAGCATAATTTTGTCTCTGAATGTTGAGTATTTAATTAATGACTTTGATGGCTGTGAGAGACCCCGAGACCTGCAATCAAAATTTGGAATGGAAACAATTAGGACACTAAGTGATGAAGAGACTTGAGCATGGGGGGAAATAAATGAACTGTTACGTCTCGGCGACATCACCCATGACTTCCCCGCTGTGATTGATAACCATCCCGACGGCCCCAGCCCCTCATTTTCACTTGTCCACAGGCGCTTTTTGTGTGTCCGATCAGGAATAAATCAAAAAGTGAGAGTGAGGAAGACTGATATTGTGGTGCGCGCCCCGCTTCCCTTTGGAAACGCTGATTTATAGTTGTTGTCGATGGCGATTGTTGGCCTGTTTATAAAGTTAGTCAAATGATGCCRTTTATAGTTTTCTGTTTTTGTGTGAAAACCCCAAAACTCTTAGAGTGCTTGACAATGTAAAAATCATTTTATCCATGGATGTTTCTGCTTTGAATAAATGTTGCTTATGTTTTATTTTATTTATTTATTTTTCAGGTCATGCCCTGAAGCCTCAAGTATCTTCAATTTTCACTTCCTTTCTTGATGGGCTGAAGAAATTTTACATCACCAAGGTAAAGATAAAAATAAAACAGAAGTAAGTACATGCACCATGACGTCCACAGGTGTTTTTCAAGAATGTTTTTAATTTTCAGTTTAAAGGCTTTGATGCCAACCGCTTGTGTGTGGCAACCCTGCTGTTTGAAGGCGACAGAGAGAAGGTCCTGCAGCACGAGAAGCAAGTTTACGACATCGCTGCAAAGTTTGGGTGACTCCTTTTTTTTTTTTTTTTCCCCCATTTAAAACAAAAATTAAGATCTTGGATCAGTATAAACACAGAAATGTATAATTTGGTTGGATCTTCAGTGATCTTCAGACAATCATCTTCACATGTCAGATCTGGATTCCCTCTCAGTAGTTTGTATAGTTTGTGTGAACTTATTGTCATGTTAATGGAGCTTTGATCACACAACAGTACCCTGAGGAAAACACAACAAGAGAAGTAGCACTCATGATTGATCATGTAGCCTGAAGGAAAACAATATTTTTTTAAGGTTTTTAAGTCACTAGTTGTGCCACTTTTTGATGTTATATGAATAATTTTTTAATAAAAAAAAAATATATATATATTACTTCTTTTGGTTTAGGATTTATAAATTTCAACTCCTGACTTGTTCAAAGTAACCAATTATTTTACTTTTAAAACATAAGTAAACTGCATGTCTGTGTAAAAATGAAAGTAACTTAAAAGGACAGAATTCACAACCCAGCTTCGTTGGCTTCTTTTATTTTTATTTTGTATTTCTAGATCTTATTAGGTTTAATTTTGTTTAACGCTTGAGATAATTTTCTTAATCCACAAGTCTAAGATACTGTTTGAGGGAAGAAAAACAAATAGGAAAAAAAAAACAGAACTGCCAATTTTTGTTTACTTTTAAACTGGTGCAGAAATGCATGAAACAAAATAAACATATGGAACAAACATTAAGATTTTACTGGGAATATTTTTTTTAACTTATAATTATAAATATTTAGTCTTTTATTCTGTTTCTTGAAAACTCTGACTAACCTTACTAAACAAAAGTATGCATTACACTGATGTTGGATTTAAGCAAAAAGAATAATACTGCAGTTTATAAAAGTATGCTGAAATGACTGAAGTGTATTTTTGATTGTAGCTATCTGCACAGTTTATATGAGGACAATTCAGGGACACAAAGCAGGGGGGAAAGGAAAGTGATTTTACTCCCATCCATTTTTAATTATCTGCAATCACTTAGTGTAAGACATCATTTAACCCTTAATATCCAGTTTAAATGGGGCACAAACTTGGGATTTTCAAATATTTCTTGGGTCTGGCTGGTTTTATTATGTCTTATTTTTTCTGTGTGGCCCAATGTTCTCTTTACAGCTAGTTTGACTCCTTTTTAGGATGATAGAAAGCCATTGAAGCAGAAGAATCTTGTCAGTTCCTCGCAGCATCCTCTGCATAATTGCATTATTTTAAGGAAATCCTGATCGGATCATGTGTCAGTGATGAATTAGTTGGAGGTAGGTTTTGCGAGGAATGTTTTCCTCTGGTGCTGGGGAAACAGGAAGAAGGGTGAAAAAAAAAATCAATATAGTGATTTTCTAATAAGCTTGGCCTGATTAGTTTGGATGGTAAATGAAAATGTGATTACCCACTGCAGGTGATAGATGTGTGGCTGACCTGTGGCGATGAACGGAGCACGGCGCCATTGATCTGCACATTGTTGGATTGACGGGCTCCGAGACAGCTGTTGTGAGGGGGAGCGGTCCGAGCAGCAGCGCTGAGAGAAAGGAGCTGTTAAGTATTAACCCTGTTGTGTGTTTCCAGGGGCCTGGCAGCTGGAGAGGACAATGGGCAGAGGGGCTACATGCTGACCTTCGTCATYGCTTACCTCCGGGTGGGTCGCTCCTCTGGCTTTTTCTCTGGCTGAGCTGATGGGCAGGTGGGGCGGGCTGGAAGGGTGGAGTTTGACAGCAGATAGGATAGTGAGCGATGATGAAAGGCTGCAGAAAGTGACCTCAGGAGGTCTATGATTTGATGTGGTCATAGTTGTCATCAGAGCGTCCAGCGCTGTGGAAGGAGAGCACAGGAGCTGCTGACAGAATAACAATAGTGAGCTGACCCGGGTCAGGCCTGTTAGAGACCTTTCTGATGATCGCAAAAACACAACAAACAGGATCTTTACATACACTTCAGTAACTGCGTTACTGACCGCTTTGTGCTGTGGTTATTATTGTTTTAACTGATGCGTGTTAGAGAAGAATGCACTGACTTGTCCTCATTCTAATTGTTGGTGTTTTAATCCATCCAGGACTTGGGGATGGACTATTATGTGATCGGGGAGTCCTTTGAAACCTCTGTGCCTTGGGACCGGTAAATACACTACCATAAGATACAAATCAATTTAGTTTTAGCACATTATGATTTTATTCTTTGCTCAGTGTGCTCTGCTGCTTTTATTTATTTATAATCGTCTTTTTGACTTCGTCTTTGACGTTCACTTTCATATCTGCTTTCCCCTCGCATTAAATCGCTGCTTTTCTGAAGGTTTTACCTCCTCAGCCCACAAACCCACCGCTACTATCCAACACACACACAGCAGAGGACACTATGTGTGTGCTGTATGTGGGGGCGGTGTAATGTGTGTAGTGCGACCCGCAGATCCATCTCACATCTACATTGTGTGATCTGCGTTTCCAACATTTTTCATCCTCCTGCTGTCTTCACACAACAAACGGGAGCACGTGCAGCTCCCTGTTGTGCAAGATGCCTGACGGGAGAGACCAAGAGATCAGGCACCGAGGCGAGCACATGTGCCCGGCTCATTACCTTCCCCCCCTCCCCCGTCCTGCACACTCCACACCCGGTTGCACATGCTAAGGACTGGCGGCCATTTCCACACCAGTGGGAATCTCTCGCACAGTGGTCGTCATGTTAGTCAGTCTGTTGCCCTCCCTCCTTCCTGGCATCTTGCCTTTTTTTTTCCTGAATTTTAATACTTTGTCTCACTGATAAATTTGTTTTAAGGCAGATTCCCCGTGCACAACACTGTCTTGTTTTAAAGGTAACAGTCTAAAGGCTGTGATGGTATATTTCCTCCCAGGGTCCTGGACATTTGCAGGAATGTGAAAGCGCGCATTGTTCGAGAGTGCAAAGAGAAAGGAGTTCAGTTTCCACCATTATCCACTTGCAGGTAACTATTAAAACCCAAGAGCTTTAGTGGAAAATAAACTAGAACAAAAAAAGTGTTCGGTTTCATCCTGTTTAAATCAGTATTCTTAGTTTTGCAGTTAATTTTTATACACTGTGGTTTAGATTTCCAAAATTACACTGAGTAAATGCTACCAAATGGTATTATTTCAACATCGTTAATTAAAAATACAGTGATCTGGGAGTTTAACTTGATATAGGCATTCATTATGGTTCCAAAAGTGGATGGAAAGCAGCATAACCAAGACTCAGCCATGAAAAAGCTTACAAAATTTAACCAAATTAATCTTTTTTTAAAAAAATTCTTTCAAGAAAAACTTTAATGTTTAAACTCCTGGAGTCTTAATATTGGAGTTGATTTTTTTTCTACTTTACTAAAACTAATGCTTTTAAATCTAAATATACATTTCCTTTATTCTCTGCAGAGAATATGGAGACTTTATGTTCGTTCCTGTCGAGTTAGCCACAGACAGACGGCTAGCTGGTTGAGACGCACCAGGCTGCCTCTCGCAGATTGCGGGCAGATTAAGCCTCAGCCTGATTATGCTGCAGCCATTCATTTCCCGGCTGCAGTCTGTCACATGATTGATTTGTCCATTTAACCTCTAGAACAGTCAGAGTGCCAGGTGATGGGCCATGTCAAATGAACAAGGGCTCTGCACCCCGGCCCAGAACAAGGCCAAAAAAACTAAAAATAAAAAATGCAACCTGGAAGAACATTTTATTTAAACTTTGTAACAAAACCTGAGTTTAAGCTGTTTGTTTTGTTTAGAAGTGATGATTTAGTGAGTCTATTTAATGCCTGGTAATAATAATATTAAAGTGACTGTTTCTGAATATAATTGAGGTTAGGGGGATCACAAGGGGGAAGTCAAACCTCCCACCTTCACTTTGTCTTCCATCTGCAAACAGGAGGGGGATAAAGGGATTTATTGTATGTAAATTATAGCTCCTTGATAAAACACAAGTGTTTAGTTTCACTTGAGTTAGAGGTTCAAAGGGTCTCATTCTGGAGCTTTCGCTGCTCGTTTGAACTCGTTTCTGGTTTGTGCAGGGTGACTCAGACGTATGACGCTGGCGCCTGCATCTACTTTTACTTTGCCTTCAACTACAGAGGACTCAGTGATCCTGTGCACGTGTATGAAGAAGTGGAGGTAGGTTCAGTACAGATCTAACACTCCTAAGGTGGATGACAGAAAATAATACTTTGTTGTTGTTTTTTTCCCCCAGCATGCAGCTAGAGAAGAGATTCTTGCCAATGGAGGGAGCTTGTCTCATCATCATGGAGGTACTAAATTCCAAACTAGCCTGTTTCATCAAACTTGAACATCTTTGATTGTGTTTCATGAAACTACGTTTCTTTGGAATACGGTGATGGCACAGCAAGCTGTCCTGGCGAGCTCCTAGCTGGCGAGCCAGTCGTGCCGTAAATGTTCATTTGGTCAGAGATCTTTCACTGCTTCCTTCACACGTCCAGAATCCCCACCCGCCCTCCCGCAGCTCAGATGAATGGCTCTGACTCGGCTATTTGTTCATTTCAGCGCTGGCCAAATGAAACGTGAGCACGGGAGGGTGGCGAAACAACTCTCTGGGCCCCATCAGGGAGAACCGAAACGGCTGCCTTATCTATATTGCCATCCGCCTCGCTGTTTTCATACATCACTTCAGGCTATTCATCACGCCTGTCAGAAACAGTATGCAGTGAATCAGCTGCGGTATTAAATCACAGTTTTTCCTCAAGACGGGGGACGGGTTCAAAATTAAAAGATTGCTAATAAAACGGAGGCAGCGGGTTGGGGTAAATGATGCTGCCGTTATCGCTGGCTGTATGCTGACCTCCAAACGGTGGCCCTGCCACCCTGAGCAGCGCAGGGGGGTGACGATGGGGGGCTGGGGGGGGCGATATTGATGCTGCTCCTGTGAGCGAGGCCCACTCTGTAATTGTGATTAATAACGGTGGGGCTTGCTATCTGAGTGCAGACAGGCCGGTTTGTCTGCCCACAATCAGCACTTGACAAATGGAGCTTGTTTCGGTGGGTTTTGTGTATCAAACAAAACAGATGTAGTCAAGGATGGTGGGGTGGGAGGGCACGGGAGGAAATCTACATTTTTGTAGCCCTGTATTTACAGCAGGTCAGTGCTGTGCTGAGTGGGCGTAGGAAAAGGAATGTTGGCATTTTCCCTGCAGTTAACACTGGCGTGACATCACAGTGTGTTCTGTTCAACACACACACACAAAAAACAATTCTAACATCAGAAATCCAAATTTAACAGGCTAGTTTTGAGAGCCAGAACACAAGAATCAAGGTTGTCCTTTAGAATGGGTCTAGAAAAGTCTCTGAGCATCAGTCACAAAGAGCGTCGTCAATCCATCAACTCCAGCTTCCAAGCACTTGGGCTTGGTCGTATCACAGGAACCCAGGGCTACCACTTTACCCTGCCTGTCATGTCCTGACCCCCATTTGTCAGGGAGAATGAGAGAAACACGTTGAGGAGTCGAGGCTTGACTCAGCTTCTGTTATCGTCTCTGTTTGACGGCAGCCATCATCATCATCTCAGCTTCAACTCTGTTCGCTTCACTTTAGGAGGCTAAAAGAATGTCCTGATTTTAAAGAAGTTCCCTGCCTCAACTCAAGTTTTTCTACACAGGAAAAATAAAAACACTTGTTTTTTAAAAGAAAAAAAAGGTTGTTTCTGAAATGGCTACCTGTACTGCTTTGCATGTCTCAGCTGCACAGACCAGGTCTGGTGAGATTGATTGCAACGGCAACCAGAAAAAAAGCGAGAATATGACAAGATAGATGTGTAAATTATCACAGTGATGGAGGCAATGATGCAGTCCCAGCACCTTCTGTTTTCTTTCCTTTTCCTGAGAGGGGGGAGGGATAGAGGTGGAACACGGAGGAAGGAGTTGGGAGGAGGCGGCGGTACGGAAGACAGGACTTTTTTTTAGTTATTGGGCAGCAGCTGATTGGTCCCTCTGTCACCATCTGGAGAGTTGTGCAGAGTCAGGGTACCCAGTGACCCTGCTGTCTGCCCTATTTTGCTAGAAGACGAGCCTCACTGGCCTTGTGGCTGAGCCCCATCTGGGTTTCCTGGCTGGTCGGTGATAAYGTGGCCCCTTCCCTCGTCATGCCCCTCATCAACACCGAGGCTCCTTGCTAGATGACAGAGAGGCGTGTGAACACTCCCTCCTTACTCCTTCCTTGTTTTCAGACGTTTCTATCTAATCTCATGTGATTACCGTTGGTTTACTCAGTAAAGCAGCACCTGTTCTAAGCTGCTCTGTTCTCAGATTTACCTTTTTGGTGTTTCACTCAAATGAACATGACCTCCAGAAGTTTACATTTACTCAACTATTAGTCTTTTATGAATCACTCAGGTGGGAAAAAAGAATGAGGAGGAAAATAAATTTATTAGGGGTGTTTGTCGTTTGAAATGCAGAGGAAAACAAATTTAATGTTTCAGGACTAAATTAGCTAATGCAAACCTTACTGTGCTCCTGAACTTATATCTCTCTTTTTTTATAAGTGTTTAGGTGTACTGGATAAACTGCAAAAAGACAAGTTTTCTCTTGAACATACATTTTAATAATTAGAGCATCAATCACATTGGTGGAACTCCTAACTTCCTGAATTCCTTCACAATAAAAGTCTCAAATGTGTACACTGATTAACCTCAAAATACACTCAGATTAACTGTTTTCACCATCTATCCAGTTATTATTTTACGTTATTTAATAAAACTCGGTCTACACTTGCTTCTACAAACTGCTTGGAATGTTAAAGTTATTTGCAGGTTTGTACAATTTCAGATGTGAGCCACGATCTACGTGCTAAACAATGTTTTCATTCTGACGTCTAAAGTCACTTGAAAACATTTGGCTATTCTTGGTCTTTGTGCCGACTTTAAAGTTTGGATTTCCTCCCTTAATCTCAAAATAGCTCATTTATTTCTGTCGTTTTGAAGTTATTCTGGAAACGATATTCTTGACATTTACGTCTTCAAGCTTAAAGCTCAAAACAAAAAAAAAAAAGTCTTCACCAAATTTTCTTTTTTTTTGAAGTGGCCCCAATATGTTGTCAAAAACATTTTAAAGGATGTCCAACAGTTTACCTAAACAAAAAACTAAAAGAAGTTCAACCTAAGGGTTGGAAAACAATTGAACAATCAGAGTTTTAGTTTTTGAATGTCTTGATTTAAACAGACAACGATCAACRTTATTGCTGAAAGTGGAACAAATTAGTTCAGTTTCAGCTTGAAATAAAGAACAACTTTACAAAATAATATAGTCTTTATTAGGTGATATTTGATTTCCTTGAAAGTAATTTATTTTAAAATGTTCATTTATTTAAATTATTAGAGACTCCAACAAATAAGCAGCACCTGGAACCTGTGACGGTTTTGGGATGAACTATGTTTTTATTTATTTATTTATTGGGAGATTGAGTAAAATTTAAAAGTTTTATTTTTATTTCTCATTTTATTCATTTTATCCTCAATCAGAAGCCGAAAAAGTAAGAACACTGCGAAGTATTCAGCTTTATCGGTACTTTAAAGATAAGTTTTTGCGTTCTTGTTTTATTTCTTGAGTATAAGAGGTTTCCCCAGTCTTACTGCAGCCGTCACCAGATCCTCCTCCAGGCCGCAGGTGCTGTGGATTTTGTCAGACTGGACAGCTGGTAAAATAACGGCCACTCTCACCAGGTTCTGAGCCAGAGCTGCCCCTCCTCCTCCTCCTCCTCCTCCTCCTCCGCCTCCTCAGGATTCGAGTTTGGAGGGAAGAGTTTCAGAAAAGCTGAAGTCCTGCTGACAGAGGACCATTGTGTGGGGCCGTCACGGTCGGTTCCCCTCGTGTAGCTCAGACCAGTGTTGGAGCAGAGCAGAACCCGGGACAACACCCTCGCAGGTCAGATGGAAAGACGCGCTCATTCGCACAATGAGACCAAAGCGCGGAGGGAGAGAAAAGGGTTCCCGGTGATGCTGAGGGGACGGGATTCGAGGAGAGCAAGGTAGCCGGGGACGGAGCGCTCCAGCCGCCAGCCGGCCCCTCCTCTGGGAACACACTGAGCCTAATGAGTTTGATAGTCTGCTGAGCTCCATAAATCATGCCATGCAAAACATTTCTCCTCTCTGAATAAAAGCATTTATCACCCTCTGTTTATTCACTCACTCTCACAAGATTGATTGGCTCCCAGCAGCCTGCTGAGCAATCAGCCGTGTCGATTCCACTATTTCTCCCCCTTGGTTGTCTTCCTCACTTTATTTATTTTATTTCCCTCTCGCTTTTCTCTTCCATTCAGTGGGGAAACTTCGGAAGAAGTGGATGAGGGAAAGCGTCTCCGATGTCGGCCTGGGGATGATCAAGTCTGTCAAGGACTATGTTGACCCAAATAACATTTTCGGCAACAGGAACCTCCTTTAAGTTCCTGCATCCTGTTTGTAATGATCTCACCTTTTTTT